ACAATTTCCTTCTTATAGGAAAGTCATTAAATGGTAGATGCAGTCTTATAGCATGTCTTCTTAGTAAGCAGTCAACAGTCAGCACCGATACATTAATTCCGAACAGATCACACTTTAGTTCAAAAACCTAACTGGTGTCGTTTGGACCAGATCGATATAAAGTTCTGATAGGAATGGTTAAATTTCGGCCAGCTTGGCCGTTACAAGTGGATTACCAATATCTGAGAAATAAATGTCATAGAGCAGAGTCCTGCTTTGACAAGTTTGGTCTACCCTACGATTGTCTGAGATATCCCTGTATACAGGTACAAATCTAAGCAAGACACTGACACATCTAACTAGCACGTTAGAGAAGACTATTGACATTCTGTTGGCAGTTCTGCTCATTTTGTCATTGCTATGCTTTTCAGCACACTCTTCTCGTCATATGTCAAATCCACTAGAATCAAAGAATGAAATTTATAATCCACAGTCATTTATGGCATTGTGTTCTATATAAATGTATTTATATATGTAGTATTCATAAGAAGATTATGTATGTCGCTGTATATAAAGCAGCTGATGATCGTTGTCAAGTATTCACCTTATTTTTTTTTTATTAATTTTTGCTTTGTTGGCAACTTTTCAACAATTTCATTATGAATATTTACTAATTACAGAATACGTTCTTTGTTTATTAAAGATTAAAATGTTTTTTAATAAAAGCATTGCGAACACCAAATATTTGCAAATCTTACTTATGTCCACTTACCTAAGTAACCTAAAACACCAGTGAACCAGTCCCAGATGAACATTTTTGTGTTTTTTGTTTTGTTTTTATTGCAGAGGGAAAAGGTAATATAATTAAAGAGTTGTTATGCTGAAATGGAAAGAAAATTTAAAAATTAGTTTTAGAAAAGAGTTTTATGCAATTTATTATTAATAATGACAAACAGACTAGATATTTTTTGACACTTGACTTTTCCTTATTGAAGCCTTGAGCAAATCTTAACTGCCTTGATTTGGTAGGAAAATGCTTTGTTAGAAATGCAAGTAAAGTTAAATTTTAGTTAAATTATTTTCCTTTTTTTTAAGTGAAAGTTGTTCACTTTTCAACACCAAAGATAAAAAAAAATTCACTTTATTTTTTTTATATTTAAAATGTAACAAAAGAAACAAAGAATTCTAATCAAAATAGAAAAAATAGAAAATTTAAAATGCGTACAAGTTCAATGTTCATTCAAGCAAAGAATACTTGTTAAAAAAAAAAAAATTTATATAAAAAATTAAATAAAATTAACACATGTAAATTATTTGCTTTAAACGTAATTACACGGATTGATTAGAGACGGAATAGCAAAATGTGGTCTAGACGGTGTCCTTGACACGCATGAAAGTAGTTCAATAATTTTTTAAACAAAATTTAAACAAAAAAAAATATATAAATTTTTTAACGTGACAATAAACAAACTACGTTACACTGTTAAAAACAACTCAGAAATAAAACAATAAGAAAACAAGACTTTGCTTCCGTACACTGTTGGCCTATGGCCTGACACTCTGTTACACCACCTCGCACAAAACCAAGCTCCGCTCGCACTTGGCACAAATAAAAAAGAAAAAAAGGGTTAAAAATATTTCGTCACTTATTTCATAAATTGCAAGTAATTATTACAAATATGTTCCGATGATTGGAGTTTTTATATTGTTAACCTGTTCCAGTTCTTCGCAGAGCACTTAATGATTGTGTTTTCGCCTCGCCCTACCCGCACTAGACTTGACCAATCGTTGACACACAAATCGCACACAATTTCTTACTTTACTTTTACAATAAAGCACAAAACGTTTTGCAATCTTTCAACTGCTATGCATTATTTGAAATTAATCAATATAATATTTACCTACTAAATATACCATACAAATAAATTAAAAATTTTCACACACTCGTTGAAAATTTTTAATTTATATTTGGTTATTTCTGTGCTTCTGTGATAATTTCTTTTGCTGGTTAACACGACGACAACAGCAACGATAAGGCAGTCTACTTGTTGGTAATATAGTTTATAAATGTCAGACAACACGACAATTGAATTATATTAGTTTTTATTGACTATACGTAAAGTATAACTATCTCTTTTTAACTAATAGAATTTTGCTATATGTTGAAAAAAAAATTGGCACCAACTGTGTTATGCGCCATCTATAGGAATAATATGAAGACAGTACTTTGTATAAAATCAAAGCAAAAATTATTACGTTTTTTTAAAATAAAAAATTAAGATATTTAAATCACTCATAATTAGATTTATTACAATATTCAATAAAATATTTTAAATAACGAGTTTGTTTCTGTATTTCAGATTGGTATAATAGTTGTACAAAAATTATTACAATAATACAGCGTTACACTGTGAAAAATTTTATGTATGTAAAATACTTATATTGTAATTAATAGGAATTTTTTACTTCTATATGTTAATAGTATTTTTTTTATGTGGACCGGGAATATATTAGATTTATTATTTATTTAAAGGCTTTTGTGAAATCAAATAAAATGTTGTTCAGTTTTAATTTATATTATGGGAAACTAAATTTTAAACCACTGAACAGCGTTTACACTGTGATAAATTTATATAGGGCTAGTCTGTACGAATAGACTATATAATGTAAAACACTACAAGTAAATTAAACGACATAATAATATAGGCCGTGTGCGAGTTTGAGTAAATTGAGGTAAAGTAAATTTAAAATTTCTAAGAATTTTTTGCACTGCACTTAAGTAAATATTTATTTATTGCACTTTTTATTATTTTTGGTTAACAGATTTCTAATTTATTTATTTATTTATTAAAAATCTTATAAAATTTTCACAATGGTAACACCTAATTTATTTAATTATTTCCTAATATACCCTACTCGAAATTCTGGTGAATTCGTTGCATTCACAACAACATTCGCTGCATTCGCAACAACATTCACTGCCATACCGACATAATTATTCTATTTCTCTCAATTTACCATCAATTTACTCGAACTCTCACACGGCCATTAAACATAATTGTAATATTATTTTATAGCATGTTTAGATTTCGGCTTAACTTGCGTGAGTCAGCAATTTTTCCTTAAAAAAGTTAATGGGTCAGTTTTACAGTGTTCACTCATTGCACATTCACATTGTCTCATTGAGGCGGTTTTGCTCACTATAGCCATAAATGAGGTTGATCTTTCATACAAATATATTTCATATTAATGAGCTTTTTATCAATAAATCAGCTCATTTAAGTTCGCCATGTCGAATGCAACCCTTAGAACTAAATTCCTCACAAGGTAAATGACCAAAATTTGATATACATGTATGTATGTGTTAGGCGAACAATAGATCTTTTAGGTCGGGGTGCATTCATTGCCTATTATTTAATAATAATGTATGTGGCACATGTTTTATATGTAAAATTTAAATAAACAACAGCTGAGGTGTATAACAAAGGCACTGTGGAAGTAAATAGTAAGTATAAAATCTTTATTTTTAATAATTAAATATGCAATCGATATATAAAATGTATATAAATGATTTAATATTTAATTTTTTTATGTGATATATTATTAAGTGAAGCTTGTAAAAGAATATTAAAGTTTTATTAGCTGTATAAATGAGCTTATTATAATGTGTACGTTTCCTCATTAATATTAATGAGCAAGTGGTTAAAAGAGACAGTGTGAATGTACTTTTAGGGACTGATTTGACATTTGTAATTTAATTATAAAATTTTAAAGGGCTTTAATTGTTTAATAACAAGTAGTTAAAGATTTTTTTAAAAATTATCTGTAACGGGTTGGAACTCTGATTGTAGAAGAAATTATGAAATTGAAAAATTTGGGTTGTTAATTATATGTCAAATAAAGGAAATCAGAGACTAATCCAATTACTTCTAATTGTGTTTTTTATAATTTTTAACTCACATTTCTATTTTGAAATAACTGTTAAAATCTAAAGTAATGAAGTAGTCTATATGATTTCTTCATTATTGTCATATTTTTCGTAATTATGTTATAATATTCACTTAAAAACACCTGAAAAAAACTTATGCCCAATTTAGCTAAATGGTTCCGTAAGTATGGTGGTAAAACTAGGCATCTATTTAGTCTTAAGTTTTTAGAGCAATAAATAATTTTCAAGTGTGATAGTTCTCGCAGACAGGAGAAAGTAGGTGATTAGAAATATGATATGGATCCGACTATAAATACACCATAAGTGACAGCAACAAATCCATTCTCGTATGTAATGAATCAACATATATGATCCAATGTCTTAGTGAAGACATTAGCGGGTTTAAGAAGATATTGAATCATATCCACGACAGTCAGCCTTCAGGATTATATGGAGTTTCCAGAGTTTTGTTTAAGGTTGTAAACGAGCGAAATCACAAAGGAACAGATGGAGCTCCCAATGTTGGGTTTAAGATTACGGTATAAGCGAAACCACGCGGATTCGTAGATGTATAAGATACGTGGTTTACTTAAGAAGTTTCTCTATCACGATGGAAGTTGTGGCGATTGGTGCTTTTGCATAAACCAAAAAAACTACTTGACCAACTACCAGCATATTAGCTGTTATGTATGCTTTTAAAGGGTAGATCTTTCAACTGATTAAGCTGCAATGTATGTTTTTGTAGTGTAGGTATTAAAATTGACTAAGATATTTAAGAAAGTATGTTCTTAGCATATGCCATCTATCTTGAACAAGGGTTAGATAGCTATGAAGTCGGGAGGTTAAGAGGTAAAGTCTTTTTTGTTTAAATGTGACATTTTAAGACGAATATATTCAGGTGTCCTTATGATTAGTTAACCAATTTTGAAAATGAGTTCAATACCTAAGTAGATCAAGTTAAACTATAAGATAGTCTATATAGTTATACACATTCCCTTTATGAATTGATTGGCATACTAACATAAATGTATTAACTATATTTTACTGGGGTTCAATAAATACTCACCATTTACCCAATTAAAACAGCATTTGTAGCTTCATAATATAATTTATTATATTTATAATATTAGAATAAAAATACTTCTAATAATTACATAAATAGATCATTTTATCTGGTTTGAATAATAGATTGAGGTGACTTAATTTTATTTACTACTTCTTGTTAGAAATAATGTATGACTACTTTATAAAGTTAAGAGGATCAAGTGCCTGTTTTTTCTTTTGCATCTATATAGTAATCTGTAATTATATCTAATATTATTAATAAACTTGTTATGCTGTTATTCATCATAACGCCGCATAGCTTGCAGTATAACTTCCTCAACCTAATGAAGAGATTATAAAAATCGCTTATTAATATATATACTCGTATATATATTTAGCTGAGTGAGAAACTATGTACGAAAGTACCTGTACATTATTCGGAGTTTCCAAGGCATAAAGCACGGCTTGAGCAACATCCTCAGGCTTCAACTTTGGTAAATCAGCTACAGCATGCGAATACACATTAAGAAAATCGGTGTCTACCATTCCAGGACTGATGCTCTATAATGAAAAGGAACATAAGTATTTAAATAAATAAAATAATAAATTTTTGTTGAAAATTTATACAAGTATGTATAAATATAGTACCTATATAATACCTATATAGATATAAAATTGACTTATAAGTACTTTACAGTTCAAAAATTAAGCTGAAATATTTGAAATCAAGGAATTAATTTTTGTTGCACAGTCTAATTAGAGACCTCACTGATACTATTAATATATTTTTTGGTTCAGTCCAGACTATATGACCAGTTGCTAAAAATTAGAAGTTTTTAGAAAAATAGCAATGGGTTGGAGTCCACCAAACAAGGCTTTCTGACTATCATGAAACAGAAATGCATGACAGCTGGAAATGAGATTTAGGACGTGTGCGAGTTAGGCTAAGTTGATGCTAAACCAATTGGGAGATTTTTTGGGATTTTTTGCACTGCACACATTTAGCCATTTATCAACACGTATCGACATATCACTACATTATTGGCACAACTTAGTATTTCCCTCATTTAGAACGCAACTTAGCCTAACTCGCACACGACCTTAGATCTTTACATATGACCCGGAAACAATCGATCAATCAAGTGCATACGACAGCATCGCGTCAAAGCCATTTAAAAATATAGACAATGTTAACAGTTTTTTTCGACTAACGTGAAAAAAACCCAGCGTCCGGGTATTGTTGGTATTGTGGGTGTCGACGGTGTTGAGGGAGGTACTGTCCTAAGATGTGAAGCAGCGGTCGATCTGTTTGCTTGAACACGGAGGGATAGGGTACTTGTATTGATAAAATTGATACATTCAGGTGAATGTGTGAGTTCTCTGTGCTTAATTGAAATTTTAAATACAAAGTTTAGAACTGAGCAATATACCGGTGATACACTCATGGGTTTGTCACAGAAAAGTTTATGAGCCCATGATGATGACGGATCGAGTCTGTTGCGTTCAAGTAGTGAATGGAGATCTGGACACCAAATTAAGATTGATCAAGTGTATTATAAATTCCATCCGCTCGGCTAAAATGCTAACAAGGAGAATTATTTAAATATTATGGAACGTTTATGTGAAGCTGTTCGTGGAACGTGGCGAGAATTATGGGCACACAATATTTGGTTTTTGAATCGCGTATTATCTTATTTTGCATTGATTTCTCGAAACTATTTTGAAAATATTTAATTTGTATTCTTTCACCACTATCTCAATTGCCCGATTAAACACTGTCTGAATTCTAGCACAGTGTTATAGACTGTAAAATCAAATCTCTTGGATAGCCAAGGTGCCATTAAATTACTGGTAGGCACTTCAGTCACATTAATCATAATCAGGTTCAACTCATTTGGGTTCCTGGTCATAGGGATATCTCGGGCAACTGCTGTCCTTGACATTCACTTCTCAGATATTTGCGTTTCATTTGTTACACTTAAACTGGCAATTAAACAAAAATATCTAAGCATAGCAACGCAATACTGGACTGATGAACCCTCTTGAACACCCCTTGATATCTAAGTTGAGTTGATTTAATTTGGACAAGAATGTACTAGTCAGCTACTTCAACTTCAACGGACGGGCCACTGCGAAATAGTAAGGGTTGCTATGAGATTGGGTCTACTCTACAATGCCTTTTGTCGTGACTGTGGCTCTGAAGATGAGGTAGAAAAAGAGGCTGTACTCCATCTTATGGGAAAATAAGATGAACTAGGAAAAGATTACCTAGGAAAAGATTATGGGAAAATAAGATGGACTAGGAAAAGATTATGTAGGTTATCCTGTAACATTGGGGACCTAACCAAGTTTATAGAACTGTCAGGTTGGTTTTCCTTTACCTAATGGGGGAGAGTCGTTACCTTTTTTGGCGTTGGTTGTATACAGATCTTTCAATCTATGTATATATCAATGCTATTCCTGTGGTACCACAATGGGCTCTCTGGAAACAAGACCGCCACTTCAACCTACCTACCTTACAGAGTTGTAAAAATGCAAACACCAAAGGGATCATGTGTATTAAAGCGTAGTTAATAGAGTAACATATTGTGAACACCCCTAAAGCTTATCGGTCACTTTTTGTAAAAAAATTTTCCTATATTTTTCTTGATAACTGTTTTATATATAATGCTTATGCATTTGCTTATAAGTTATGTATTAAATATAAATTATACAATACATTTAATATGTTTTCATAAATTATTAAAATATATTTTAAACGAGAATTATTCTGCGCAAATTTTATACATAAATTAAAGTTGTAATTAGAAAAATGGAATGAAATTATAATGTCGTTCCGTTGCAAATTCATATTTTCATTTTATTTTATTTCGTATAATTCAATTAAATTAATTTCCAATTTAAAATATATTTTTGCAGCAATACATATATTAAATATTTTCCAATTTTATAATTCTTATTTAATTGCCCACAGGCATTTGGGAAATTTAATATTTTATCACAACGTGATGAAACCTACGTAGACACAACAAACGCCGACAGACAAACAAACGGACAGACATTAAAATTGTACCAGAACATGAAGTGAACTGTCGTTGCCGTATTGTCACAATTAAGTGCATATGCAATGTATAGCAATGTGTGTATGTGTGTATGCGTGTATGAGTATGTGCATTTGCATTTAAATTTATTTTTATTTAAGCACTTCATTAAAACATATACAAATTAAAAAAAAAAATAAATAAATAAAAAAAATAAATATAAATCACACAAGAGTGAAAAAATCTATCCCTGACCTTTGGAGTAGTGCAGAGTGTGTGGGTGTTTGGGTGGGTGGGGAAAACTCGATGGGTTGTAATTAACTTACCGTTAATTTAATATTTAATTTAAGAAAATGTATTTCCTGACGAGTTGTTTGGCAAAGAGCGGTAATTGCGTGTTTGGTTGCCGGGTAAACACTGAACAATGGAACTGGCACTTCGGGAATGCGATGACCAAGTACGCTGCGGATGAAGTAAAAATCAAAAAAAAAAATCTTGATAAAATAAATATAGTATTTGTTTGGATCTGAATGCACAGATAGATTTATATTTTAATATCAGTATTATGGGTTAAGAGAAAAATCACTTTGAGAATAGGAAGGATATAAAATAGGGATATGATTGTGTAAGGAATAATTTGGACTCATTGGGTGTTGGTGTGAATTATTTAAACTGGTTTGATTTATTTCATTAAGTGCTTAATTGAAACAAATAATGAAGGGGATAATGAAGTGGACAAGGGAAAAACATAAAATATGCTTATTAAAAAAATAACTGAAGATGATCTACGGAGTAGACGGAAATATCGGTAATGTAAATAATTTTTTTATAAAAATTAAAATATAATTATAAAATAAAATATGCTTGCTGCTAAGAAAACAAAAATCCCTTAATTTATGACTAAAGTGCTACCAATTATGTGAAAAGTCAACAAAAATTAGTTGACAGATGTTACTTCGGACTAAGTAAGCAATTGAGGAATAAAGCACTCTCTCTCTCTCGACAAACAAAAATCACGCTCTACAAATCTTTTATCATGCTTGTCCTGCTATATGTTATGGTGCAGAAGCTTGGACAATTACCAACACTGATGAAAAGGTGTTAGGATCATTCGAGATAAAAAATCTTCGATAGATCTATGGCCCTTTACGCGTTAGCTACAAGTATCGAATTAGATGGAAGGATGAGTTGTATGAGCCATATCGGAAAATTGACATAGTTAAGCGCATATAAATTCAGCGGCTGCGCTGGTTTGGTCATAACGTGCGAAAGGTAGGTGGACAACGCCGTAGAGGAAGTAAGCATCTTCGGTGGAAGGACAGAAGTATCAAATTGTTTTACGTGATTACCTGCCGGGATGGCTCAACATCACGGTGCTCTTAACACACGTATTAATATAAAGCGTCAATCAACGCCCCATTGGAATAGCCTTCCTTATTCCGCCGGTACCAATGAAGAAATTCATGTAAGTCATAACTTCCATATTGGTAAGATGCGAGGCCTACCTAAAACCTCTGCTACAATTTGGGCTGTAGCACCTGGTATGAAACGCACTCTACGGCGAATGAATGATAACCCAATACCAAATCATTCTTCCCGCGTACGTTTGGGTATCAACCGACAGCCACTACGAAGCCAACGCCAATGGTCAGAACAGGTGAAGCTGCGGGCTACTGACCCCCGTAGTACTAGATCGGTTCATCTTTGGTCAGATGTCGTGAGTGCAGTGCTCACTCACTACCATTTGCACTTCTTACATAAGTGCCAGACTGGCACTGGGGGATTTTAGTCGCCTCTTACGACAGCTAATCCTAACCGCCGGAGTATTCTTTTCCCCTCTCCGCAGGGAAAACTTCGGTAGAAGGACCAGGAGATCAACAATTTGAGGGCGCTCGGTACTATGAACTGGCTTTTACAAGTTCATTGGCTTCCTTGCTAATATAATATAATAAGCCACTGATCGAGCTGGCTGGCGGAGGCTATTCGAAGCGGCTAAGGAAGATTCAAGTCTGTGACGGCTAACTAAGTAAGTAAGTGTATATTCTGTGGATGAAATTGGATCATATTGTATTTTAGACTCATGGTCAGTGATAGATAATGCACTGAAATAAAAATTTTGCTGAAATCTCAATCACAAGTGTATTTTATTTAAGTTTAACATAATTTTGTAACCACAAATGGATGATCCATTTTGTCAAATCAAAACTAAACATACCTTCCGACATTGTAGTGACATTGAAGCATTTTTCTTAATTATTTAAATAATTCTTTGATTTAATGTATGTAAGTATGTGCTGTATATAAGTATGTGCAGTATATAAGTATGTGGAAGAATGTAGGGAATATATTGGACTGTGCATGTGTCACTTAAAATATGTCGAGAGGCATCAGTATTAAAATTATTGTGTTAAAACTGCGTAAATACTTAATTTACCTTACAAGTGCATTTATGAGGACAGGATTGTGTGTACGCCAGGATTTGCAAGGATATACATTAATGTACTATTTATAATATTTGTAGTTGAGTGTAATTGTGAGTGTGGGTCTATGGCTATTTGCATTTGGTGATTATATTTGTATACGCATTTGTGTTTAAATGTTTGTATTTAAGCTCTTGTGGATTCTGTGAGAAGGTGGGGGGACTCCCACAAAAATATACACCAAATGCATTTACTATCCGTCATATGTAATTAAATATAATTAAGTTTTAATAATATGGAATTTACGTTTAATGTATATAATTTTCATGGACGTGATTGGAATTCATTTTCCTTGTAGCCCCAAGTTACTTAAAGATGCATAAAGTATCTACTCGATACAGAAGACTTAGTAGTAAAAAGAAATTAAATCAAATAATTTTTATAATCACAAAAGAGAATATTTATAGAAATGATATGGAGCAACTAGACATAAAGAGCAAAAACTGAATTTTTTTAAATAGAGATATTTAAGATATATCCAAAATATGTGTGTGATCAATTCAAAACTGCGCTTAAGTAAAAGTCTTTGTAAAATTATATAAAAATAAAAAAATAGTATTGAAATTAAACAATTTAAAATAAAAATATGATAATTTATTCAATTATCATTATTAATGAGGTCCATTAACTCCCCACGGAGTTAATGGAACTAACAACAATTCAATTATTCTACAACTGTTTTATGATTTCGTTTTAATATAACACAGCAAGTGAATTTATTAATGAACTTTCACAGCAAAATTAACAAAACTCAAGTCCGAACACTGACTCTCAGTTTCAAATTTGGCAGGGCATGAGTTCACCCCTTGGTACTTGCAGTCTCAAAAAATTAATTACAAATAATTAAATATAAGAAATAATTCCAAGACCATTTATGATGAGTATTTGACAATACTCAAAACAGCTGTATGGTCAGCTAAATATTCAATTAATTAATAAAAAAATAAAATTTTGTTATTGTAATTTACTACTGTTCGAAATTCCTCTCTATTGAAAATAGTAGTTTATATTAAAAATTTGTTTTCTTTCGTTAAAACAGACAAGTTTCATTGGCTTCCTTACTAATATTCATACCTGTTTATGACGATTATATGTCCTCTGGTTTTGGTTTCTCGCATATGTTTTAAGGTTTCTCTCATGCAAACTGTCGTGGCAATCACATTCAGTTGAAATAATTCTTCCATTTCCTTCGTAGTTGATTCTATTGTAAGAGATCAAGTATTTGTTATTTACAACTTATAAATAAATATGTTATTTTTTTATTTATATTTATATTTATTATATATTATATTTATTTTATTTTATATATATATTTTTTTTTATAATACATATATATATACATAATATATGTTTATTTATTATTAAATTTTTTTATGTTAATTTCTATATGTGATCAAAAATTGTTATAGGTTATATGAAAGATCTCAAGATTAAAAACCAAATATCTCATCGTTAACTAAGAAATATTCCTATATAATACTTTTTTGGAAAATAAAACGTGTCTAGTCAGCCTTCTATATAGGAAGTTTTCTATGTATAGAAAGATTTTATACTTAATTTTATTTTTATTCACTCAGTTCGAAGACCTAGAATACGCTGATGACTTAAATTTATTAAGCCATAGATGCACCGATCTTCAAAATAACATCAATACAATCAGCACATATGTGATTAAAGCTGAACTTGAGATTAACACGTCTAAAAAAAGTTATGTGCAGCGGCTACGGTGCATCCACAGATCCAGTCATAACTATAAATAACGAGAGAATCGAATATGCTTGGGTAGCATAGTGATGAAGGTGTCGCATCTCGTATTTATAAAGTGGGATGCCGTTTTTGCTTAATTAAACACTATATGGAAATCAAGTTAATTTACCATCTGTAATATCGGAAAGCAAGCGCTTCGGTGGAGTACATAATATTCATTGCAGCATTATTAACTATAGGTCATATATCTTAACTGCTATGTCTATATATAAAAATTTGTTTAAAAATCCAACCTGTTAAGAAATTCGCTTTTATTATTCCTGCATTATTTACCAGGACATGTATAACGTAAAATTTTTCACGTATCCAATTGAATGTTTCCACAATCGCAGCTTCATTAGTTAAATCGCAATGGCGAGAGAAAATTTTTCCCTTTCCCTTAACTTTTTTATTAAGTTCCTTCAAAGAAAAAAAATATAATTAATAGTTTATAACATGAAAAATAAATAAGTATGTCTATATACAAAGTTTTCCTTAAAGAAAACTATATCAAAGCAACACATTTTGTAAAATAAGATCATAATTTGCATATAAAACCAGATTTAGTTTTACTAGATCTTCAATATCGCTCGGACACCGGGCTAGTGGCTGGCGACTATACTTTCGAATCTGTCAAGGATTTCATCTACCTTGGCACCGCCGTAACGAATACAAATGATGTCAGTCTGGAGATCAGACGAAGAATCACCATTGCTAATAGGTGCTACTATGGGCTCAGTAGGCAATTGGGATGTAGAGCTCTCTCTCGACAAACAAAACTTACGCTCTATAGGTCGCTCATCCTCCCTGTGCTTCTGTATGGCGCAGAAGCATGGACGTTATCACAGAATGATGAAGCAGCACTGGGAGTGTTCGAGAGAAAAGTTCTTCGTAAGATCTTTGGTCCTCTACGAGTTGGCGACGACTACCGCATTAGAATGAACCACGAGCTGTACGAGCTTTATCACGACATTTATTCAGCGCATTAACATCCAGCGGCTTCGCTGGCTTGGTCATGTCGTGAGAATGGATGAAGACGCTCCGGCGAAAAAGGTGTTTGAAGCAGTAGTTGGCAGAAGAAGACGTAGAGGTAGACCGTGTCTCCGGTGGAGTGATCAAGTTGAGGGAGCACTAACTGGACTTGGTATACGAGACTGGAGAAGGCGCGCACGCAGCAGAGGCGCCTGGGGAGACATGCTGCGTCAGGCCGAAACTCGGTAACGGGTTGTTATGGCCACATAAGTAAGTAAGATCTTCAATATCCTTAGTTCATAAATTTATTTTTCGATTATTTTAATATATATAAGCTAATGCTCCACTATATCCACGTGGGCATTATATAATGCATATATTTTATATACGACAACGACAGATATCTGTGGTTAAATTTTGTTTTATCCAAATGGTAGTCTTTAGTAAAATTCTTCAAGAACGTAGAAAAAGTAAGATGTCGGCTTACAACAAGCCCATAGAGCAATTCTTTGAACTTAACTATCTAAGAATATGATTTAAAAGCAGTAAAGTCTGAAGAAGAGGCACAAATCGAAACCAATAAAATGGCAACAATATCAGGACGTCCAAAAATGGTAAACAGCAATGATTTGGAGAAGTGGCAAGTACCCAAGTATATAAGGCAATAGCTAACGTTTTTCTTAGTTACTAGTTGTTGGTAATGTTTTTGTGAAATTGTCACTCCATTTGTTTATTATTTAAACGTTTTTGGTGCTGTTAGCTTGCACTTTAATTTTTGCTTATTTTATGTACGTGAGTTAATTCGAGCACAGAACGCTAACGAGAGTGGAGGAACTTCCTTTAATATAGGATGAATTTTTTTAAATAAATAATTCATTTTAAATTTAAAATTAGTGAAATCCACAAATTAACAGCGCAGAAAAAATAATTTAATACTAAAAATATTATATATAACAAAAACTATTAAGAAGGGGGACTTTATAATCCATATGTGCTGTTGGGTTACACTTATATTTCAATAAACCTGCGTACATCATCTAGATGCACAATTTTCATATAATTTATTTATATTTAATTGAAATTTAATTAAAATAGGTAGCTAGGAAGGTGCAACTGGGTGATTCATGATAGGATCTGATAGGCCGGTAGCGATATCAGATTAGAGTGGGTGAATAAATAGTAAATAACGACATATATCATGTAAGCAAATTTTAAAAAATAGTTCCCTTCAAAATTAGGAAAGAAGTTCAAGTCCTTGAAACTAATCATTTCAAAGAATTTTATATTAAGATACTTAAGCTACCTATGTCTCGGCTTTTATAGCATATATTCTGACAGTTGTCTATTTATATCGCACAGAGGCTTCAGTTCTTAATTTATTTGGTGTTCCGTAAAGTTAGTGATATTGTCAACGGTTTTATTTCTCTTGATGCTTTTATGGCCAGGAACTCAAAATGTAGGTATACAATATATCATATATTATAATAAATATATGAAGAAAATAGGTTCACATTGTGATTTGGGTAATTCCAAAGTCTTAGTTTATTACATTAGTAAATGGTTTTGAGAATTTTTTTTATTAATATATGTGGCATTGCGAAAAGGCTCTGATAAGTCGGCTATTTCGTTATGATGTAAATTTTGTTATAATTCGTTTTTCAAAACAAATATAGATTTGTTCATTCACAGACCATTGGAGGATAGATAAATTGATTATGTAGTATGGATAAGTTTTTTTCATCCTGATCAAGACTACACATATATATTTATTTCGAATAAATATAGTATATATGCATATCCGACGATTTCTACATAGCTCTCTTGATGTTTTACCAAACTTAATAAGAAAGGGTATACAAAATATCACATATTATTATATATGCACTATATTTTAATATTTTTAATTAAGCTATATAGACAACTTTTACAATATCTCACATCAATTAATTCCGTTCGTCTTGATATACCAATCACAACCATGCCAGCATTAGCTAAAGCCACAGCTATACTAGCACCGATACCGACCGAAGCGCCAGTGACTACCGCCACATTGTGATGCCAATATTCTGAATCTTGTGACATTTTTTTATATTTAACACTTTTTTATTATTATAAAAAGAAATTTAAAAAATATTTTGAAAAAATTTATTATTTTAGTAAAATCTCAACAAACAACCGCTCGTCTAGAAAACCCAACGTTGACTAATCGCGATCATAAAATATTTTATGGTAGACATCAATATTCTTTGTGGGATTATCGCATCGATGCACTTTATTGGTTATGAGGTGGAATATTGTGAGAACAGATTTAAAGCGTGTTCAGTTGGAAGGGAATATGGGTGCATATGAAGCATTTCTGTATTCACACGAATCCTCTTGATTCGCGGTAATTAAATTTGAATGCTCTTATGTTTGCCCACATTTTCCTAATTTACCGCAAATTACTTTTAATTAATTCGCACAATTGCAGATACATTGACATGTAGGGAAAATTAAAAAAAGAAAAGATACTCGTACTTTCAAATTGTGTCAATTTGTTGCTGACAATGCGTTCGTTGCTCTTGGTTTTTATTGCGATTGTGGAAGATTATTTAGAGCTACAGTGGTGAGAACAGATTACAGAATTATGTCAATAATATTGATAATATTTTTTTTTTTTTATTTTAGTTTATGTCTGAGCTTATAAGTAGCTTTTACAGTTAATGAGAATACAATGATTTAAAGTGGAAAAAAAATATTACTCTCATATGTCATAGATGTGTTAGACTAGATTAATTGGAACTGTATTTCAAACTTAGTAGATTAATTTCTTAATATTGTCAGCCTTTTTATAAATAGATTGTGGATTGATTAATGATAACTTTTTATACTAATTCAATGATATGTGTAGATAATCAGTGACTATCAATAACGTCCGCTATAGAACAATGTAATGCTATAATCAGACAATCGAATTCAGTAAAATAAATATGCAGCAATATGTGTCATTTTTCATACCAAATCCATACAAAATCCATATAAAAATATGTTAGAGAGGTGCGATAAGTCTAAGTATAAATATATTGTTAAATGATCGTCATTAGCAGGAAACTACAGCAAATACAAAATTTCACACTTAAATAAGCATTTCCTTACATTTTAAGAAGAACTGTTAAAGTTCCAAATTAATAATATAGGTACACAGATACTTGACATTTTTATAATAGATATATGATTCCGAGGTGCATATGTTAAATTAAAGATTCCATGGTGTTATAGGTGGATATTTCATATCAGATGGAGAAATAAAACTCTGTAATATAAGTTCAATACTACAACTTAAAAAATAAGTTGGATTTGCAGAAATACTCTTAGTTCTTGAAGACGGCGTAATATATCTCTAAGTTGTAGTGCTAAATTCCCAAACATAATAATAATAATAAGATTCAGTGGCAACTATTGTGGGCATAATACGTATAGTGTATGCAGCTTGTGCAATCTGAAAGAATTATAAGACATTTATCACTTCTTAAGCAGGGTTGTAGTATTAAAAGGTTAGAGTTTAAGTAAAGGGTCCAGACTTCAGGGCGAAGTTCTTTGGAAAAGTGTGTCCAAATCAGGGTGATATGAATATGATATACAACGATTACTACTTTAGTAACTAAGAGACCTCAATACAATATATAAGAAATGCACTAGAATATAGAATACAATTATTATATATAGATAATAGAATATAGAATACAATTATTATTAACATATAGTTTATTTTATGAAATTCCTCTTCATACAAATTTGAAACTTAATTGACGACCTCTAGGGTCGTATTCATACTTCTTTAAATGATTTTAAATTTATATATAATATATATTAATGATAAAAAAAAGTATTCCTGGTTTTTTGTCAATAGATCGTGTTAGTATACGTAAATTGGGTAACATCATCTCGATTATGTCAAATGAATACGTATTTGATGACATTTGAGACCACATTTGTAAGCAATTGTTAATTCGTTGGTGAAATTTTGGGCTACCGAACCATAGAACTTCTACACATATGATATTATGAAACTACTCGAAAAATGTGATCATATTTTTGAGATCATAAATAATGATGGTCAATATAGGTATAGTCTTGCATTTAAGGTATAGGGTCGTAAAAAATTTAAAAAAAAATTTGGATCCTTATATCGCTTAACTCGCTTTCTAATAAAAACATATATTTTTCATCAAATAGATAGGTAGAAGAGTGTTGCGTCAGTTCGAAATCCGAAAACATACTGTTAGGGTCATCTTAATAAGTAAGTAAGTAAATAGCTTGTTTAGTTTGGCAGGCAGTGGCTGCTATAAATATATCTCTGTGATTCATAGAAGCCAGAGGGGCTTTTATGGGAGCCACAATGTTTAAATAGCACTGCGATCTGGTTGACTGCTTATGTGAGTTAACTGTGTGTATGTGTTTGTAACATTTTTCAAGAATATTTTTACTAAGTGTACTATTCTGCAAGGATAAAAATGGTAGACCAAATTGCAAAAAGACTGATGCATTTACTCCCAAGATGTGGGTCACAAACTTTCCGGTTTGTGATATCAACATTCTCTGGTAGCATTTTTGACTGGTCTGGGAGTGACTTAATAGGGACTTAATAGACGGTAAACAGTTTTTTTTTAACATGAGTGTATTTGTTTTTATCGCAGTTATCGGTCTTGTTCAAAGTGATCTTGTGTTCATGTGTTTCATTTCCCAAGATTCCCATCATTGTTTTGTAGTCCGTTCTCGAGATATTTCAATAAAGTAGTTCCTAACAAAATTATATATATGTTTCTGATTTTGTTAAAAGAAAAGTTTTAAAATATTTGATAACATGATCTTTATTCTAATTTAACAGTCCTTGGTGGACCTTTTTTTTATTTATTTATTGGTATTTATTACTGTTAATTTGTAGAGTTAATTGTGATAGTGTAAACGCACTGTTAGACGTTTAAATCTTTTCTAATAAATCTTTATTAATTTATAAATAAATTTTATTAGATGTTAAATTTTTTTATGGTAATTAGTTTTTGAGTAAAGTATAAGTAAATTATATATTATACCTATTTTACTGAATATCTTATAAAACTGTTAAAATAAAGTAAACTCATATTGTTTATATTAAACTGTGAAGCCAGTCTGAAATTGTAAATACATTTATTTATAAATAATTTTAATATTATTAACATCTGAATACACAGTTCAGTTAAAACTAAAATGTAAGGCAATTGAAATATTTACAGTTGAAAATACTTTAATGGAGATACGAAATAAACTACAAAAATTTGGTTTAAGTAAGATTTTAAATGTGAATACTTTTTGGTTTTAATTACAATATGTTTGTATGCAACGTATGTACCTATGTTATGTATGTGTCATTATATATGTTATATATCAATAAGTAAACCACATTTTTAGGTGTCTACACAAAATATGATATTTGATCCGGTTCTATTTATAAGGCTTCACTTCAGCTTACTTTAAGAATATTTAAGTAAAATAATAAAATTGCATTTCAATCCAAAAAATATTTTTGTATATTTACGAGTCTGAGATAGATTTCTCATTACTCAATTCATAATTACACAACACAAAATAACTTATGTCAATTGTAAGTTCAATTAATAAAATTGATTGATGTATTTGCTTTAATTAAAAGGAAATTAAATTTTTCTAAAATTTTTTAATTGAGCAATATAGTTTATGAATATACTTAGAATCAAAGAAATTAATTAATTTTATTGAAAAATCAGATAAAAGTGCATTTTATCAGATAAAATTGTATTGTAGAGGTGATATTTCTTACTTAATTTAAATAAATATATGTAAATATTATATTCTTGCTATATAGTTTTAATAGAATAACTATAAGATATATAAATAAAAGATTTCTTTAAGTTCCCTCGCAAGCGAAGAAATTTCAAATTGTCAAGTACGACTTTGAGCTTCAAATTTGGCAGGGCAGAAGTTCAACCTTTGATACTTGCAGTCTCAAAAAATTATTTACGTATAATTAAATACAAGAAATATTTCTAAGACCACTGATGATTATTGGTATTTGGTAATACTCGTATTAATTAAAATATTATAAAAATAATTTTTGTTGTTGTAGTTCAACACTTATCGAAACTTCTTTACTAAATCTTTTTTTATTTGTACCAAACAACATCTTAAGATGAAAAAATTAGTTTTTGAGTCCTGGTTTGTCCTATTTTTAGACACAACCTAGTGAGAAAGCCTTTTGGACTTTATGCGGTTGTGGTACTTATTTATATTAAAAGTATTGTACGAGTAAAAAAGATGAAAGTTCGTAAAGTTCTCGAACTTCTTAACACGCTACAGTGTCCTGCCTTCGCAATACATAAAGTATCCTACTTAGGGTCGCACTTTTTCTATTCACTAAGAGAGCTAGATTGTATTTCCATAGCTCGTGTCAATGACTTTGTAGCCAATACCAAGTGGTTATAGGGACAGGTGTCAAATTCTTAAGGGTGTCACAATGGACCTCATGATCTAAGTGAGTCTTCGGACGGTCCCAGTAACCTAACACGACCTTGTGTGGCTTCCATGTTTATAAAAGTGAGCACCTTTGGTAGTTTTGTTTATTCCAAGTGCTATATGGGGAATATGACTTGTCTGCAACAGATGCAAGACTGCTGCTGCACAGTTTCAATCATTTACATATAACGTTGCAATATCTATTTTATATAGTAATCAGATATTGGTTTTTGCACCACAGAACCATAGTTTTCTCGAAGAAGTTTTTTTTTTGAATATGCCTAATGGCTTCTCGTCACTGCTGGTCACTGTTCAAATTTCAGTACTATAGAGAGGCTAGGTATGATAATAGACTTGAAGTGGGATTATATTTTTGTTGAGAGAAGGTTTCGTTTCTCTATTGATGTCATAGCTCGACGTATTATCATCTAGCGAGAATCTCTAATATTTTTTGAATCTATACGTAATAACATATTGTTAAAAATTGTTAACAAATACCTCTTTTTTTAATATTCGATATAATAAAGTACATCATAATAAAAGCAAATACCTAACTTGAGTTTATTTAAAAATAATAAAAATGGATAATATTTAATTCAAATTTTAAGTACGGAGTAAACTTTTTCGTAAGCTACTTAAAATTATTTGGCTTCTGTAGAACTTTCCGAATTAATTCCAATTTAATAACATTTCATTT